GAGAGTCTTAAGTTTGCTGTAAGGTATATACGGTATGCGTATCGTGTACCCTAGACCTTGAACCATACTTTCAAATTGCAATCATCTTGCACCCAGGCTGCTACATCAAAATCCTAAGCTGTTGAGGCGTCCCGCTTACAACGACAGGCCAGCAAGCCTCCCCGACCCTAAACCCGAAACCCAAAAGCCTCCAAACCTTGTCCATACATTTTGAGTCATTTCTGAAGCAGCACTGCTGCGCACTCAGCTTCCCTTGTCTCCGAGATCGTGAGACATGCCCAACCCTAGGTTCAGGGCTTACGGTTGCAGGGCTAGGCTTTAGGCGTCTTTCACTACCCCAGCTTTTGTTTGTGTGGAACATCTGTAAAAGAAAGACACCGACTAGAGGCTTAATGTTATCATCATCGCGGAACAGACTCAACTTCAAAAAATAACTATCCCACATATCATAAAGTAAAGGTCTTGCAATGCGATTATGTTTTCTTTCATCATCAGCTGTTCTTAGGTATTGGAACGTGTGGTAAGAGTACGGTTCAGGCTCTGAGGTCCTCCTTCTGGGTCAGGAATATAACATGTCATCCTCCGTCCAAGCCATAGAACCAGCATTGAGAATACTTGTCTTGTCGCCATAGAATCCCGAAGGTTTTTTAGGGTACGCCATTCTGAATCCGGAGTCGCTCTAGTCTTTGTCCAGTAGTCATTTCAACTTGTTGGGTTGGGGTTTGGCATTACAGCTTGGGCTCGGGGATCGGTAATTGTTTCCTGCAACGCCACTGACAGCCGTAGTGGAATGGCTGCGGACCAGCCAGGTGGGTAGCCTCTGTCAACAGGATTTCTATTTGATGGGGCGATACATAGGGGTTCTCATAAGGGCATTGGGGGGTTTCCAAACATTTTTGGGTGCCTCATGGAAGGTACTTGTAGTGAGTCCCCAAAGAAGTACTGTGGTCTACACAGAGGGACCACCATTTTATGGAATCCCCCATGTCATGTGGGCACTGTATCGGAGAAAATGGTGAATAATTTGCACGAGAAGGGGCAGAAAACAGCAAAGTCCAAAGCGCCGAATACAAAGTGTGCTTTTCCCTAGGCCCCAAACCCTTAACCATGTGCATGGAACCCTGTTTGTGGGATTCTTTTTATCCGTAGGTTGTCTCAGAGTTTGGCAATCAGGCTCTAAGCTTATGGCAAAGCACAGTTGAGTATTGAGGAGACATTCCTAAAGAATAGACATGTGTATACATTGCTTCTGAAAACTAATACAACCCTGAAATCGGATGCTACAATGCTTCTGTTCATATAATCCCTGTTTCAGTCTGGGCGAAGTGGGAAGTTTAGGAATTGCAGCTGCGCTGTTTGCTTTCTTGTTTAAAAGTAGTGCACGGGCCTACATCGGTACCAAAATACTACCAACAATGGAAAATCAAATGGACCAGGAATGGAAACAACATGGCGAGCTGGGTCTATATAGTGGTTCTAGGGATAATCACCCATATTAGAGTCTAGTTTCCTTGTGTAACTATGCTGAACCCTAAACCCTAAATCGTTGTATAGGGGCTTGTAGAGTTTCGCTGGTTCAGCTGGTGCTCTCTTCAAGAAATAGCCGCGTCATGAA